CCCCCCCACCCCCTCCACCACCTTATTACCCCAGCTTCCTGCCCTACTTCCTGTAAGTACTAGCACATTTGCCCCAGAGCTGTGTGATGTCTGTTCTCCTGGGGCGTGCACTGGTTAGACCCAAACACAGCCACAGGGCCTCCAGAACCATCTGGCATCCCCAACAAGCCTGACAGACACACACCAGTTGGGCTCCCTGCCCCTCCTACGAGGTCCTGGGACAAATACTGGGGTCCCCAGTGTGAACTGTGCAGAGTCCTGGGCTATGTTTGCATGGAGGGAGTCAGGGGAGTGGCTCTGTGCCCCCTATCCCTACTGACCTTGACCCTGGGCCCCCATACCTGGCTCTCTCTAGCTCGATGCTGCCAATGTCACCAACAGCGATGGGGCCCACCATCAGCCTGGATCTGGATGTGGATGACGTAGAGATGGAGAACTATGAGGTCCCGTGGAGCCCCATGCTGGGAGGTGGGGTTAGGGGGACCTCCAGGCCTGGGTGCTGCTGACCCTCCCCTCTTGCCTGTATCCAGGCCCTTCTGAACCTGGCCGAGCGGCTGGGAGATGCCAAGCCCCGAGGCCTCACCAAAGCAGACATAGAGCAGCTCCCATCATACCGCTTTAACCCGGACAGCCATCAGTCAGAGCAGACACTGTGAGTGCCGTGCCCCTCTGTGAGTGTGCACCCCCCTCCCCCCCACTTCAGGGGAATCATGCTCTGCGATGAGCCTTCCCGCAGCCATCGGTGTGGATGCTCTGTGCCTCCCCTCAGGTGTGTGGTCTGCTTCAGTGATTTTGAGGCGCGCCAGCTGCTCCGAGTCCTCCCCTGCAACCATGAGTTCCACACCAAGTGTGTTGACAAGTGGTTGAAGGTAACACAGCCCGAGCCCAGGTGTTCCTCATGTGGTGGGGGGGGCAGGCTTGGAGGGTCTCCCCATCCTTGCCATCAACCAGAAGTTCTGGCTCCAGGGGGTCAAGTCCCCACCAAGCAGCTGAATGGACACAGATGGGATGGGGCACAGGTGAGAGTGAAGCCTGATGTGCGGCTATTCCCCTCAGGCCAACCGGACGTGTCCCATTTGCCGGGCCGACGCCTCGGAAGTGCCCAGGGAGACTGAGTGAGGCCCCACAGCTGCCCAGGAGAACCCTGCTCGAAGCTCTGGAAACTTGAGGGGGGACCTGGGGAGGGAGTAGCCCAGGCCTGCCTGGTTGTTCCCACCTGCATTTTCAGAGCTGGTGCCAGGGTTGGCCCTGTGAGAAGCCCTTGCAATAAGCCCCTGCATTTGCCAAGCTCCAAAGACTCCTTCCCTGATCTGCCTGCCTGTCCGCCTGCCGTGGAGCTGCCTGAGTGTCCCTAACTCGGTCTCCCGCCTGTTGGCCCTTGGTTCCTTCTCCGTTTTCCTGCTGGCACTGGGAGCCAGGGGTCCCTTCCCCCAGTGTGGCTGGTAGAGGTCCTTGGCCCCAGCATGGGCAAAGGAGGCACCATCCTGGGTCATCTGGTCTCTTGCACTGAAATGGTGTGTCCTCTGTCCAAGTGGTGCGTGGACAGATGGTGGCATGAAGCCATTTCCTGAGTTCTAGGGCTGAGTACTTCCACCTTGACCCCACACAGCCTCAGCCAGCCAGCTCTGCCTAGTCTGTTGTGAGGGGTGGGTCTGGCTCCCTAGAGGACCCTCACTCCAGGCACAACATTCCAGCCCCACAGGCTGGAGGGCATCCTAGGCAGGCCTCTTGAGCAAATGGGAGACAGGCCTCAAGCTGGGGCACCTGTATCCTGAGGGGGCCTGAGCTGTGCTGGGGAGAGTGAGCCCCTGTATTCCTGGTGGCGACCGTTCCACAAGTGACAGGGCCAGACCCATGCCCAGTTTCCCCTCTCTGTTGTTTTGCATGAATGTGAGGAGCAGCAGTTTTTGTTTATTCATTTGGCCCAAAGTCACGTGTAGGATTTGGGGGTATGGATATTTAAGAGAATTTATTTTCTTTTATTTTAATGGGGGTTATAGGGACCAACCAGGACTGAGTGCCCAGGGGGCAGAGAAGTGCCCAGTGGGGCCGCCTGGTCTGCATGCATGTGTGCGGCTGGGGCTGGGCTGGGCAGCTGGCGGTCATGGGGCAGGGTTGGGGGTCTGTGCTCAGCTGATAACTGCCATGCACTGTACTGCACATGTCCCTAGAGCCTACTGGGACCGTAAGCTTTTCAGGGCATTTCTCCCTCTCCAGTCAGGGAGCGTCTCCCACCTGCCTGGTGAGTTTCCTCCAAGGAAGTCCCAGGAGGACAGGGTCGGTGGTGGGGGGGTGCCTCCCAGCCTGACCACTGCCCTCCAGGGTCTGGAGGAGGCCCCTGTAGGGTCTGGCTGAGTCCCTACCTTCTCTCCTCCCATTCCTTTCCTTTCCAAACCCCAGCTGGGGTTGCTACCCTGAACGAACCGCGTGTGGGGCCGGCACATCCTAGCAGGCAGCCCCTGGCGCCTGCTGCCTCAGGGATGCTCCAACCACCCTCGTTCTCCCCGCAGCAGCCCTGGCTTCCCACCTCCCCCTCTCCTTGCCCCCCAAGTCTGCCATGGGGCCCGTCAGCCTGGTCCCACCCCCATGGAGAACCCAAAGTCTTACTGTATATAACTCCAGGTGACATTTCTATATTTATAGCAGTGTTGAAAACCCATGTGTTTTACACAGAGAACCACCCTCTCCACCCCTCTTCCCTTCCCCACCCCAACAAAAGGTTTTCAAAACCCTAAGGTTCCTGGGGCAGGCAGAAACAGGCTCATGGATTCTGTGTTGGCTGTAGCAATGATTCCAATAAGCAGCTATGGGGGGAGAGGGAAACACAACATTAAAAAATAAAATCATCATTAAAAAAAGATTTATGAAACGATTACTTTAGGATGTTTGTGATTTGCCGACCTTGCTATAGATGCCATGTTACCAATGATTTCCTGTGGTGGGGGCTTGTCATTGTTTACTCTTTTATTTACCAACTTCTGGCCTAGGCATGACAGTGGGCACCTTCCCCCAGCCCTGGCTGGGCCCAACGCCTGTGTTCTGTGTTAGAAAGGTCATACACACACATATATGTATATATATATATATATATCATATATATATATATATATATATAATTACATATATATATAAATATATGTAATTTGGGGGCCCTGTTCCTTGCACATTTTACAGTTACCTCATTTTTCCCATGTATGTATTTGAGAAAATGCTAATATATAGAGAGAAAAAAATGGTTCTTAAAGCTTAAATGTGTGGTTTTTTCCATTCCATTGGATTCACATTGGTTTGTAGCATTTAACATAACTAGTATGTTGTATTATATATATGTGTATACTGATTGAAATTTTTAACAGATTTGTACTTTTTTTAAAATGAAAGTTGCTAGTTCTGCTTGACCAAGTAGTGCAATCATTATTTTTTTTAATATTGTTGCTGATTTCAGAGGGATATTCACTAATAAATGTATGATGTATACCAAGTATTGCCCAAGCTGTCTTTGGCTGCCTGTGTTGTTTAGGTGGGAAGTGGGGGAATGGGGGAGGGTATGGGAAGTGGGGAGCAGAAAAGATCATTCCCGGGAAAGGGAGCAGGGAGGAAGGATTTGGTTAAGGGACACGAAAATCAACTACATTGTATATTGGTAAAATAAAAAAAAAATAAAAAAAAAAAAGATCATTCCCTGCCATGGAAGCCTGGGGCAGTCAGCACCCCTGATTGGGGGGAGGGGGGGGTCTATGATTCAGTTCAGTGATTATTCTGGGCCATCTGCTTCACATTTAAATTAGGCAGGTTTCTGTTGGCAAGTGACAGGATGGCTGCATGACTGGCCAGGCTTATACTACCTACCACCACCCACAGACCCTGCCGGAACTTGCACCCCTCATACCCAGGCTCAGCAGGGATGAAAGACCCAAGAGCCACCAAAAGGATCAGGCTGGTGATGTGATTGCATTCCTCTTATCCAGGATGGTATCTGGTGCTGTAGGAATACTGGCTGACTGTTAGCATGTCAAAGCAACGTGGCTGGGGTCAGGAAAACTGGGACCCTGTGTCTATGGCACCACCAACCAAAGCCTTGGTCAGGGCACTTCTCTTCTGGTTTTTGGATCATCTGCAAATTAAGGGACAGGATCGGTTCAGTGGTTCCCTACAGGTGTTTCAGAGAAAGTCCAGTGGGAGCCCAGTCCTTTTTTGTACAAGCCTGAATAACAGGGTTTGTACAAAAAAGGGCTGTGGTCAAATATGTTTCAGAAACCACGTTGAAGGTAACAGTCTATTTTTCAGGGTTTCTCTGAGCCTTGGCTATGCTGATGTGTATTGTGAATCTCCAAGAGTAGATACTGTGGGCAACATCTACACTTGGCTTGTATGGCCATGTGTAGGACTTAAATTGCATTCCTTTTTTTTTTTTTTCTTTTTTTTTTTTTTTACAGGATCGCAACCCTCGGTGACGCGCCCGCACCACGCTCACGGACCGGTCTCTATATGGGATCCGAACCCCCGGCGGGAGCGCCGCTGCACTCCCAAGCACCACACTCTACCGAGTGCGCCACCGGGCCGGCCCCTTAAATTGCATTCCTTTGAACACATTGGGACATGGCAGACTAGAACAGTGGTAGCAGCTGAGTTCCCAGGGCTCTAGCCTAGAGGTCTGAGAAAATTGTAAGGTGGGGAAGTCTCTGAGCTCTTTGCAGTATTTCAAAAAGCCTAAAGAAATATCACACAATCATATCAACTAATGCAAAAATTGTGACAAAATTCAACATTCATAAAAATTTTCAGCAAGCTAGGAATAGAGGGTAACTTCCTTAACTAGATCAAGAGCATCTACAGAAAAACCCTACAGCCCCTGGAATCAGTACAGAGCAAGAACATCCACTCTCACCACTACTATTCAACATCATACTGGAAGTCCAGCCAGTGCAATAAGGCAAGAAAAAAACAAAATTAGGCATACAGATTGGAAAGGAAGAAATAAAACTATCCCAATATGCAGCTGATATGGTGAAAATCTATGTAGAAAATCTTCCAAAAAAATCTACAAAAAACCTCCTAGAACTAAATGAGTTTAGCAGGTCATAGGATAAAAAAATACACAAAAATTGTTTCTATATACTAGCAATGAACACATGGTAATCAAAATTAAAAACAATAATACTATATCTAATCACTGAAAAATGAAATACTTAGGTATAAATCCAACAAAATGTGTACAAGTCTTGTATGTTGAAAACTACAAAACACTGATGAAAGAAATCAGACCTAAATAAATGGAAACATAAAGTGTTCTTGGATTGGAATATTCAACATAGTAAAGATGTTATTTCTTCCCAAGTTGACCTGTAGGTTTAATGCAATTTCTATCACAATTCCAGCAAGGTTTATTATTATTTTTTGAGACACAGACATTCTTATTCTAACATGTATATGAAAAAGGCAAAGGAGCAAGGGTCCCAAAAACAATTTTGAAAAACAAGAATAAAGTGGGAAGCACTAGCCGGTTAGCTCAGTTGGTCAGAGTGTAGTGCTGAAAACACCAAGGTCCAGGGTTGAATCCCTGTACCGGCCAGCTGAGAATAATAATAATAAAGTGGGAAGAATCACTATACCTAATTTTAATTCTTTCCGTATAGCTGTGTTAATCAAGACAATGTGGTAATTGCAAAGAGAGAGACAAATAGATCAGTGGAACAGAATAACCCAGAAATAGACCCACACAAGTACAACCAACTGATTTTGAACATTTGATGAAGGATAGTGTTTTCAACAAGTAAATCTCACTATTTATATAAAAATGAACTCAAAATGGACCATAGATTTAAAAGTAAAACATAAAACTAGAAAACTTTTAAAAGAAAACAGATGAAAATCTTCAGGACCTAGGACTAGGTGAAGAGTTCTTTGACATGACACCAAAAACAATCCATAAGAGGAAAAAATCAATAATTGGACTTCATCAAAATTAAAAACTTTTAATTTGCAAGCCACATATATGACAAAGGACTCATATCTCAGATATATAAAGAACTTTCAAGACTCAATAAAAACAAAAGATTAGCACACATTTTACCAGACATACAGAATATTTCATGTGCTTATGAAAAGATGTTCAGCACCTTTAGCCACTAGGGAAATGCAAATTAAACTACAAGATATTACACACCTACTAAAAGAACCAAAATAAAAAATACTGACTATCAAATTCTCCTGAGAATGTACAGAAACTACATTTCTCATACATTGCTGGTGGGAATGAAAAATGGTACAGCCACTCTGGAATGTAGTTGGCAGTTTCTTATAAATCTAAACATACATTTTTTATAAAACTTAGCAGTTAAACTTCTAGACATTTATTCCAAGGAAATGAAAAATTCCACACAAAAACATGTACATAAATATTCATAGCTGTTTTATTTGTAGTAGCCCCAAACTGGGAACAACCCAGATGACCTTCGATGGGTGAATGGCTAAAGAAACTGTGTGTGGTACCTCCAGACCCTGGGGTACCACTCAGCAATAAAAAGGAACAAACTATTGATACATACAAAAGCCTGGATGGATCTCAAGGGAGTTATGCTGAGTTAAAAAAGCCAGTCACAAAGGTTACATATGACTCCACTTATATAACATAGAAATGACAACATCAGAGAGATTGAGAACAGATTAGTGGTTGCTAGGGGCTAGGAATGGGGAAGTAAGGGGCATGGTGTGGCTATAATGGGGTCGTGTATTAGTCCGTTTCTGTTGCTTATAACAGAAATACCTGAATTGGGTGATTCACAAGAAAACAAAATTCAGGGCCGGCCTGTGGCTCACTCGGTAGAGTGCGGTGCTGATAACACCAAGGCCCCGGGTTCGGATCCCACATAGGGATGGCCGGTTCGCTCACTGGCTGAGCGTGGTGCTGACAACACCAAGTCAAGGGTTAAGATCCCCTTACCGGTCATCTTTTAAAAAAAAAAAAAAATAGAAAACAAAATTCATTGCTTACAATTTCGGAGGCTGGGAAGTCCTAAGTCCAGGGAAAACATCTGGTGAGGATCTTGGTGGTGGCAACAGTGACCCAGGAATCTCACACAGCAGAAAATGGCGGAGCAGAAAGAGAGAGCTCCTCATGCACTCTCCTTTGAAAGCCCTCAGAACCGCGCCCAGACCCTCACTTTTAATCCATTCACTAGGCATGATCCTCAGAATCTAATCACCTCTTCAAGACCCCACCTTCCAATTACCTTTCAATATTTCAATAATAGGATTTCCCACCCTCTGAACAGTTAGAGTGGGGATTAAGTTTTGAGGGGACATTCAACCCAAGGCAGGTAGCAAGAGAAAGATCTTTGCGGTGATGAAATAGTTCTGTATCTTGATCATGGTGTGGTCACATTCAAACATGATGAAATTGATAGAACTATACACACACATGCACACATAAACTGGTGAAATCTGTAGATCCCAATGCCAACTTTCTGGTTTTATACAAGATGTTATCATTGAGGGAATCTAAGGATACATAGGACCTTTCTATAATAATTTTACAACTTCCTATGAATCTAAAATTATTTCAAAATAATTTTCCAAAACTTGTGGAAAATTGTATAAAGACCCAATATTACTAATCAGATTAAAATCCTATTGTCTTTGGGCTAAAATTCTGTTATTTTAAGATGTGGCATTGGTGGGGAGTAGGAGGTCATTCTGATTACTTCTTTCCTATCAGAAGATCTGCCTGCCAGCAACTACAGCAGTGTCTGGCCCTTGGTGGGCATTTTTTTTTTTTTTGGGAGGGGGCATTTTTGAACAAATGAATTTGCAGTAAAATGCATCTTTGTTTTAATAACAATTGGCATAATTGGCAACATGTTTCCCCTGGGTAAACACTACAATCTGTCCTCAGAGGGAAGAGGCTGGAATCCAGGACTGGATGCTTTCTCATCATCTTTGAGTTCGGCCTGCATGTTGACAGGAAGAACATTCAGAGTTCTTCTCTGGGCACAAAGAGGATGCAAAAGCCTAGACACTCTATAAGGGCAGTTTAATTGCCACTGGATACTCAGGCCCTGGTAGGGTACTTGGCACATCATTTGTGCCAAATAAATTCATTCAACAAAACTGGCTGAGTGCTTCTGCCCCAAGCCAGGCACTGTTCTAGGAATATGGCATACCCCACTGAACAGGACAAAGTTTTTGCCTCCAGAAAGTTGGCAATCCAGAAGTGAGAGAGACAATATGCAAGTAAACACTTATTTCATATTATAACAAGGGCCATGAAGGAAAAGACAGTGATAAGTCAGAGGGGCTAGGGCAGGGAAACCCTGACATAGGGTTGGCCTTTCAACAGAGGTGACACTGAGATTAGTGAGACCCGAATGATGAGGAGTCAGTCAGGAGAAGAGCATGCAGAATGTGCCAAGGCACAGAGGTAAGGATGAGCTTGAGCAGGAGCATAGGGAGCCAGATGAAGTTGCAGAGGAGAGCAGGAGGCCA